GAAAAGTTGCAAGAAAATACTTAATTCTGACCTAGCCGAAGCAGGAATTCATAAGTGTGCCTTTGGCATATTGTTGAGAGACAAAAAAAGGCCTGAAACTACACAGCTTAAAATCGCCGCAAGTGCACTAAGCTGACTTTGGCATAGTGTCAATAATATATGAGGAAATTGGTACACATGAAGAATAGCCAGTCACACATGGAGAATACTCCTACGTTGGTTTCGAGGCCCTAATCTGGAGGTCAAAAAAAGAACAGACCCACTAATAAGTGTGTTGTAAAAGGCAAATCGGATGTTAGGCCGAAGGACACAGATACTGCAGTCTAGCTGTATACCACAATACATTGTGCCAAACGTGGTCCTTTTAACCCCTTTGCCAGGGTGTTTAAAAAAAAAGTGTCATCAACCTATGGGAATTCCCAGAAAAAAATTAAATTCTTTAGAAAACAACTATTTTACATAGGTCACTATTACATTTTCAAAAAATGTGTTCACCTAGTTTTAAATGTTATTGCTGTTGAAATACATAATAAAGATGTATAACAGAGGTAATCAATAAACATGAACAGGGCGAATCAAAAAAACATTCCCTGGGGACTACAAAGCAAACAATATGTATCAGGTGACTCATGCCATAACCCCAAGACTTATATCACTGAGGCTTTCAGGAAACTTTGACATTAACTTGCTTTTTATTTTTAAAAAGCCATTGGAGTCTTAAGGTAACCATCCTAAATGCTATTTTTAGTTACTATATTCATATCCCGGTCTATTAAACACAGCACAATGGAATTTAACTATGCTTTTTGAGAATATTACTGCAGAAATGACCATATACAGACATTTGTGACAGTGCCACAGTCAGAAGTGACTAGATTTAGTCTTCTAGGGGCTAAAGGGTTAATGGTGAACATAGAAGAAGACAAGGACATGAAGAATAGACAGAAATTTACTTACAGGTTGTTGCCAGGGACAGAAATAGCAAGACAATTAATCTCTCCTCGACTGCTATTGCTAAACAGACATAAAATTGCCACAAAAATCAAACATACATTGTGCAAATGAGACAAACAACAGAAAAGATTTCAAACATAATGACTTCAAAATTACCACAAGTAATTCTTTTGTCTATTTACAAAATATACAACAGGATTTTACTTGGACATTAATAAGCAAGATAGGAAGGTGTGTAACTGTCTCTGGTGTGGGAATAGCAAAGTGTGCTGTACTGTTATCATAGTTACACCTTTCTATTTATCTCAAACTTCAGTCTCCCTTATCCAAGTTATCGTCTCATCTATCATCTCTCACTCTCCCGTCTCCAAATTATCGTCTCATCTTTCTCTTCTCCAAGTTGTATCATCTTTCATTCTCCCTTCTTCAAGTTATCATCTCATCTTTTTATTATCTCTCACTCGCCCTTCTTCAAGTTGTCATCTAATCTTCTTTTTCTTTCTTTCCCTTTTCCAAGTTATTGTCTTATCTTTCTATCATCTCTCATTATCCCTTCTTCAAGCTGCTATCTCATCTTTCTCTTTCTTTCCCCTCTCCAAGTTATCAGCTCATCTTTTTATCATCTCTCTCTCCTTTCCTCTAGACTGTCATCTATTTCCTCTATCACTTTCTTTCTCCAAACTGTCCTCTACTTTGTTTTTTTTTAATTCTCCTCTCTCTCTCTCTCTGAGCTGTCATCTCCAATTACATCCCTGATTCTCTCTCATCCAAAACTGTCACCTTTCTCTATCTCTTGCGCCCCCTTTCTCAAAGCTGTCATCTCTCTCTCTCTACCTCATTCCCCAGTTCTGAAAACTGTTATCTCGTCTGTCTACCATATCTTTCAGTCTCATTCTCCAAAACTGTCATGTCTGTCTATATTCCAAACCTCCTTAGTTCCCAACAGTTCCTTCTCACTACAGTAGTCAACAGACAAAAAGAAAAGTCACTGATCCGTTAGAACATGAGCCATACTGATTATGTGGTTCTAGTTCCATATTTTCAAATACTTCTATTATTAATATGGAGAAAAAAAATATATGAGTATACGGGTCAAACAAACTTTAGTCTCCCCACAGAAAGTAGGTCACATTGCACTGATAACTTTCTTGGACTGGTTTAACCTGCTGGACGTTTTGGGTGTGCTGCTTTGTTGTTTGCTTTCTGGGATGTCTTGCATTTACTTTTTTATTCAGAGAAAGAGAATGCATGTGACTTAGGTTTCCTCACTCTCTCAAGGGGTTGTGCGTTAACCCAGTTTGTAAAGTTTATGTAGTTTTCAAGGCGCTGGAATTCTGAAATATAAAAGACCCCATATCAACGGCATTGGGGAAACACCCCGTCACCTTGTGCCAAGGTCGACCAATCAGAAGTCAGCTAGACTAAGGGTCGACCAATCGGAAGTGGGCTAGTGTGAATATTGGCGGTTTGTGGGGAGACTAATGTTTCTATTACCCTTAGATGATATGGCTATGAGTTTACACTACCATATAACTTCCCTCTGGATGATGGGTCGAAATCTAATGGCAATGAAAAATCTAACTAAGACCATTAACAACAATGATCCAGGTCAGGAGAAGCCTGTCTATTGCTCCCCCTGTTGGCAAACTATTTGAATGTGCGACCACCCAAACTTCAAGAAGCTCCTCTGGGGGTGGAAAATCTTCATGGGCAATTCTACAAAAATCTGTGCACAGAGAAGCTACACGGAGGCACCAACAATGGCCAGATCAAGCAGCCTTCAGGCGTAGCCTGCAGCCCTATGCAGGTCTTTGACTTCCTTCCCTTCTGTCCTCTGTCATGCTGCTATCTAAAGGTCTCCAAAAAAAAATCTCAATTCGGATGGCAGACTAACGACTAACAGGGCAAATCCAGATACCCTGTTCAAACTCTAAAAAAGTTATAACTAAAGCACCTGTCATGGCTACACTAACCAAGTGTACACTGCAGGCATGTGTGAGTTAGAGTCGCTAGACGCTTGCCTGCGGATCATTAGGTCATGAGTTTAGGTCCTGACAGGGGCCTGACTCTTTTCAAAAATGACCTTGGCTGCCAGTTCGACACAGCCTTGAGTGGGCACCAGGTACAGTCCTGTGAAGTAAAGGGGCCCAGTGTGATATTGATCACATCACCCGCCAACTTTTGTTTGGTCTGTAAAATATAGATCTAGCCCTATATACCCAATATGCCTCAAGGCTTGGAAAAGGGTCCTTTTACTTCATATGTGCTAAGGAACCTTCTCCTGTTTGAAAAAAAAGTTTCTCTGTCAGGACTGCAGTCAGTTTGACTGTCAGTTTGACTAACATCTCAAAGATGAGAATCAGGTACATCCCCATGTGGGTTTCGGGGCCCCACTGTGGGGAAAACAAGAATAGACCCACTGCCTGCAACAAAAAAAACCGTAAGAGTAAACTCTTTGGGAGCTTCCTTTTAAGTCGGAGTGCATCGGCGACCGGGTAGCCTATCATTGACCGGCCGGTAAACAACCTCATCGTTGGTCAGGACAGTAGCTGGGTCTGTCTCCTTTGATCGTATCAACACTACAAGAGTCCTTTTCAGGGCTACTTGGTGTCAAGCAATGATAAGGCGCAAATAACCAAGTCACAATTACAACCAAAAGCTCCCACTTTTGAGATTCTTCCTGGACATGATGATTTTTGTTGTTGTTGTTGTTGCTCAAAGGCGGACTGGAACTAAGTTAAAGTAAATTTCCTGAGAGGCAAGTAAACACAAAAGTTTGCATACTATGAATCAGACCTGTGAAATCTATGTGCACTTAACAGTTTCTGGAACAGGACTAGAGTCTAGAAGTGGACGAACAACCAGAAGTTTAGAGTCAGTGAATGCAAAGAAGAATCGCTACAAGTCTGGAAAACCACATTCAATCATAAGCACAGTTGAATTAAAAATCAACATCACAGCATTTGAGACACTCCCATAAGCGCTTCCTCACCATATTCAGCAGCAAGCAAAGAGCTGCAATTCTGATGGCACCAGTAACTGATTGTATTCCCATCTTGCCTTTCCTCTTGAGCGTCAGCCAGATCCGCTGGTAACTTCTCGCAGTGCCATTCTCCTCAGGCAATAATGATCTACTCGTCACTCCACACTTTTCACTCACTTCCAAACAGCCCTCAAAATATCTAGCTTGTCATACATCAATTCCCCACCAAGTGGTGCAGAACCAGCCAGTCTATCTGTATGCTCATTTGCTAACACACTCGCATGACCTGGAGAAAATATCCAAAGGACGCTAACTACCCGGGACCTCCGAAGCAGTTATATGGGGTAACACAAAATGGTTACGGTGTAACCTGTGGTTTAGATGCTGTGGTTTCACTGGTGCCTATTCGGTAAAATGCCATTGCAGGAGTCGCTGGCAGCCGGACTAGAAAGGGGTGATGGGGTAATACACTAATTCTGTGGCAGCCTTGTTTGGTCATGTCCTGAGATGGAGAAAACTGGGGTACATCCTGATAGTGAGTTAGGTTGGAGGAAAGGAGAGGCAAAAGAGGACACAGAGAGAAGATGCTGGACAGTGTGGCATCATGGCATGGAAGATCAGCAGTGTCCGAACCGATTGAAAGTATGTAAGACAGAACAGTGTGGCCAGACATGACTATCAATACCACAGACTAGGAGAAAAATGAGAATAAAAGGCCTCATGAACCGATGCAAATTATGTTGAATTGAAGGATCAACATCAGGGCACACGGGTGTAACCCATAAGTGCTCCGTTCTACTTCAAGCTTGAGTCTGAAGAATCTCGGCGCAGTGCACGTAATTCCATAGCACCGGCGAGGATCCAATGCAATTAAGGATGCTCTGAAACACCTGGACCATGAAGGTTCAAGTCACTGACAAAATATACCACCAATCAAAAAGATTTACTCCAAAGAAAAATATAAATGCAATGAAAATGTTAGTGCATAATTTGACACTGCAAAATCTTGTGCAGAATTAAATGCTATCAGACATTATGTGAAGCACCATTTGTGTGTCCCCTTTCAAGTTGTATGCATATACTGATGTCCGTCCACCTGTCTGTGATAAGTCTTCACACACTTGACTCTGCCAAAGAAACAAAGTCAAAACAGATTAATCATCAAGTGTTACTCACATGTTTAATTTACGAAATACATTGTCTAATTTAGTTGGTTAGTTAATCAACAGATTATCCTCACTGCACATCAGAAAAGTCCATAAGCACCCAGATCCCATCTTCAGTGTGTGTGCCGACTGACAACACCAGTTCTGTGTTGGTTTACTTTTCTTCTTTGGCTACCTGCATAACGTTCATCTTTAGCAACACCTCTTTTGGTCTGGCGTTATTGTAGTCTCTTGAGTGTTGCAGATTCAACGTCGTCTCCTGAATCATCTTTTCATCCTGTCTCCTTGACAGTACTGAGAATATCAGCCTGGTCCATTGCTTTTCTCGTACCTACCATGACTCTGCCAGCAAGCCAATCAGCTCGTTCCTTCCCTCTTACCCCAGTGTGACCTGGCACAAAAATGAAATTGTCTAATTTAAAAGATACAGCTTCCTCATCTGTTTAATTTCCGAGATATGTCCTCATCTGTTTAATTTGATAGAAATAGCCTCTTCTGTTTGATTTACAAGATAAATCATCTGTTTAATTAAGAAGATATACTGTCACCTGTTTAATTTGCATGAAACATCATCTGTACTGTTTATTAATTTAATTTACAAGATACACTTTCTTGTTTAATTTTACAACATAGCCCTTAAGTTTAATTTAGCAAAAATATCCTACCTGTTTAATTAACAAGATACTTCCCAAACTGCTTAATTACCAAAAAAAAACATGTTTAATTTACAAGATACATTCATATCTGTTTAATTTCAATTAACAAGAAATATCATCTGTTTAATTTCCCAGAAACATTGTATGTAATTTACAAGATACATTTTTATCTGTTTAATTTACAAGGTACATTCACTTTGTTTAATTTACAAGAAACATCATCTGTTTACTTTATAAGAAACATCATCAATTTAATTTGCAAGAAACATCATCTGTTTAGTTTAAAAGAAACATCATCTGTTTAGTTTACAAGAAAACCTCTGTTTAATTTAAAAGAAACATCATCTGTTTAATTTTCATGAAGTGGAAGAAGACAAGAAGGAGGAAAAATACATTTAAAAAGTAAAAAATACGATTGTTAGGAATTTATCCTGACCTGTGTAAAATTGTAGCATTTTATCTTAAAGGATTTTTTTTAAAGGAATTCCAATTTTTGTCAGCGTTAACAGGACTAAAAGTTTGAACATCATAATGACTAATGAAGAACACTAATGATTCATGGAAGGGGGGGGGGGAGAGAACCAATGGCTGATGAACACGAGTAAAGAATGAGAATGTCAGTCAAGGACCTCCTGTGCATGGAGAGTCCTGAGGTGGGAAAGTTGGCGGTAGATCAAGTGGCTTTCTGAAATGCAGAGATCTTCTTCTTTGCATTCCCCGGCAGTATAAACTCTGGCAGAAAACTTCTGAATGTTCATCCACTTCTGGACTGTGGTCTCAATGCAGGATTGGAGTTTTGCTGCACATCCGTTTTACAGATGCCTGGGTTATTGTAAGCAGACTTGTGTTCCGCACCTTATAGGCAGATGCACTCTGGCTTTAAGGTAAACATACCCTTTTAGCTGACTTTTAAGAAATTTTTGCATGCTAGGGGGCAGTGGAGCCAATTCTTGTTTCCAAAAGAGACCCAGGAATCCAAAAAGAGAGAACAGAATTATGATACTTGTGTTCTGCACACGACCTGCTAACTGATGATTTTACTACAATTCTTCCGCTGGATACAATACCCATGTGATGTGTGTGTATGTGCGTGCGTGTATATGGGATTTTTATTTCTTCTTCTGTTTTCATACTTAAAAGGTCAATTGCCACATTGTGGTTTACAGCTAAGCTGTGATGTATGAGTCTTTTTTGGCCTAATACATCTGATTTCAGTAAATCCTTAAACAGTTGCCTTTTACGCTTGTTAAGAAGCAGCATATCTAGTCTTCTGCCTCAAACACTGGAGGCCAGAAACCACATCAGGAAGTTGTTTTCATTTAGTTCTTGTTATTCTCTCAACTGGATCCACTATTATTAGTTATTTGTAAATATTTCAGAGCACATTTTCCCCCTGTGTGGGTTCCGGAGCTCTAATGGGAAAAACAAGAACAGACCCACTGCCTACCCAAAAACATGTTGTAAAAGTCAAATAATTAGGAGCTTCCTTCAAAGTCGGAGAGCATCTGCCGGAGAGGCAAGGAACCAGCAGTCTGCATAGAATAAGTCGGATCTGGAAAAGGGATGCACACGCAACCCTCAGGTTCTGGAACAGGACTTCAGTCAAGAAGTGGATGAACAACTAAAACGTTCCGACGGAGTTTACCGCTTGTGAACGCAAAAAAGAAAAAGAAACACTCTTTGCAACTAAACATACACAAGCTGAGTACACACTAAACATACACAAGCTGAGTACACAACGAACATACAAAAGCTGAGTACACACTGAACATACACAAGCTGGGTACACACCGAACATACACAAGCTGAGTACACACTAAACATAAACAAGCTGAGTACACACCGAACATACACAAGCTGGGTACACACCGAACATACACAAGCTGAGTACACACTAAACATACACAAGCTGGGTACACACCGAACATACACAAGCTGGGTACACACCGAACAAACACAAGGTGGGTACACACCGCACATACACAAGCTGAGTACACACCGAACATACACAAGCTGGGTACACACCGAACATACACAAGCTGAGTACACACTAAACATACACAAGCTGGGTACACACTGAACATACACAAGCTGGGTACACACTAAACATACACAAGCTGAGTACACACTGAACATACACAAGCTGAGTACACACTGAACATACACAAGCTGAGTACACGCTGGACATACACAAGCTGAGTACACACTGGACATACACAAGCTGGGTACACACTAAACATACACAAGCTGGGTACACACTGAACATACACAAGCTGAGTACACACTGAACATACACAAGCTGAGTACACACTGGACACACACAAGCTGAGTACACACTGGACATACACAAGCTGAGTACACACTAAACATACACAAGCTGAGTACACAACGAACATACACAAGCTGAGTACACACTAAACATACACAAGCTGAGTACACACTGAACATACACAAGCTGAGTACACACTGAACATACACAAGCTGAGTACACACTGAACATACACAAGCTGGGTACACACTGAACATACACAAGCTGAGTACACACTGAACATACACAAGCTGGGTACACACTGAACATACACAAGCTGGGTACACACTGAACATACACAAGCTGAGTACACACTGAACATACACAAGCTGAGTACACACCGAACATACAAAAGCTGAGTACACACCGAACATACACAAGATGGGTACACACCGAACATACACAAGCTGGGTACACACCGAACATAAACAAGCTGAGTACACAACGAACATAAACAAGCTGGGTACACACTGAACATAAACAAGCTGAGTACACACTGAACATACACAAGCTGGGTACACACTGAACATACACAAGCTGAGTACACACTGAACATACACAAGCTGAGTTCACACCGAACATACACAAGCTGGGTACACACTGGACATACACAAGCTGAGTACACACTAAACATACACAAGCTGAGTACACACTGAACATACACAAGCTGAGTACACACTAAACATACACAAGCTGAGTACACACTGAACATACACAAGCTGAGTACACACTGAACATACACAAGCTGAGTACACACCGAACATACACAAGCTGAGTACACACTGAACATACACAAGCTGGGTACACACTGAACATACACAAGCTGAGTACACACTGAACATACACAAGCTGAGTACACACCGAACATACACAAGCTGGGTACACACTGGACATACACAAGCTGAGTACACACTAAACATACACAAGCTGAGTACACACTGAACATACACAAGCTGAGTACACACTAAACATACACAAGCTCAGAGTACACACTGAACATAAAACAAGCTGAGTACACACTGAAAAACATACACAAGCTGAGTACGAACACACGAACATACACAAGCTGGTGTTACACACTTAGAGCTAGAACATACACAAGATTGCCAGCCACACCGGACATACACAAGCTGAGTACCACACTGAACAGGTGAGATACACAAGCTGGGTACACATCCGAACATACACAAGCTGGGTACACACCGGACATACACAAGCTGAGTAGTCAGTGACTTCATACTTGATACTTGCTGGGTACACACTGGTCCATACACAAGCTGAGTACTACACTGAACAATACGAACCCAAGCTCTGTACACACTGAACATACACAAGCTGAGTAAAGACACTGAACATACACAAGCTGGGTACATCAGTTGGACATACACAAGCTGATTACACACTGCAACATACACATTGAGTAAATGGTCAGCTGTGTGGTCATACACCGAACATACACAAGTGGTACCTGTGGTACATCACACCGGACACTTCCCATTACACAAGCTGAGTACACACTGAACATCGACACAAGCTGGGTACTAATGACTGGACATACACAAGCTGAGTACACACTGAACATACACAAGCGTGGGTACACACTGAACATACATAATAGCTGAGAGTACACACTGAACATACACAAGCTGGGTACACACTGAAAAACACCACAGACATACACCTTCAAGCTGGGTACACACTGAACATACACAAGCTGGGTACACACTGAACAGAGGACACTGTAAGCTGGGTACACACTGGACATACACAAGCTGAGTACACACTGAACATACACAAGCTGAGTACACAACGAACATACAAAAGCTGAGTACACACTGAACATACACAAGCTGAGTACACACTAAACATACACAAGCTGAGTACACGCTGGACATACACAAGCTGAGTACACACTGGACATACACAAGCTGGGTATACACTGAACATACACAAGCTGGGTACACACTGAACATACACAAGCTGGGTATACACTGAAC